TCTCTTTACCAAGACAGTAGTAGTACGTCCCAGGGCAAACCGGATGTGAAATAGGCGGTGACTTCATGCCAGAGAGATTTTATTTTAGAAAGGAAGGTGGTACCAGCCTCTGGAGCTGGAGACCAATCCGCCCATTTTTTATATGCTGCACAATTTAACTTGCACCGCTCTGGCCCTAATCCCCTTCTGTCTAGCTGCAGACTCAAATCCTTCTACAATCTGCTGCAAGCTTGCCTTTTTTGGGGGGAGGGGTGAATAGAAATGGGGGAGGGAAGGGTAGAAAGGGTTAGAGACACAGGGACTACCCTCAGAAGCTTTCCCACACTTTCAATTTACGAACCCTCTATTTTAAGGCGTGCCCATTAAAAATACAACTGATCTGTATAAATGTTCCACCTTTGATCAAATATTTAACCACTGCATGCATATGAATGAATGCAAGCTATGAACCGGGGAGATGCAGGGCTGCACATGTGGAGAGCGCTCTCGCCTCTCGCCTGTCTCCCTCGCACGCACTCCCACACACGTCTGAGTCCCTGTGTCTTGCAGAGTCACGAAGGATGAGGGCCGGTTGGGAAGAGTTCTGGCCGGGAGGGAACTGGCCACCGGGTTCAGAGAGTCGCTGGCACTTTCACAGGGTGCGAGCGCTTTGCCGCTCATCTCTGTCTGCAGCTTACAGGGCAGCAAGCACGCGCTCCGGAACCGGGTTTTTTAATCTTTGGAGGCAAATATTCGTCTGTTTATGTCGCGATGGAGAAAACGCAGCCTCCTTTAAACGTGAATTGTGCTGGGTTCCTAGGACGAGGAGTATTTAACTTTACGCAAATCGCCCGGATCATTCATTTCTAGGTTTGAGAGGCATATCTCCATTTCCGGAATCATTCCTTTGCCTATAACTCCATCATTCTCCGGATTAGAAAATGGGAGAGGGGGACGAGAGAAGATGAACAGGAAGGTTTTTAGAAGTCAGGTCAAAACCCGCTTCTACTTTTTTTTTTTTCTCTTGCCCTCCTCTATTACTCTCCCTGGTGGCTCTCCACCCACGAATAATTATACACTTAGCGAAGAGGGTGTGTTTCAACATCAGTCTAACTAAATTTCCAAGGAGTCAGGGAGAACCGTAGTTCTCTCGTCGGATTTTGTGAATGGGGGTTTGTAGCAGAGAAGAGATGGGCGCTGTCTTCCTGGGAGCACTCACTGGAAATGACCTGCTGGGCTGGGAACTGTCCCTTCAGCACTTCCACTTGGCCTGGTAGCAGGTGCTGAAAAGAAAAAGATGGGGCACCTCGAAGCGATGCTTCTGGTGAATAAGGTCTGAACTTTAGTGAGCTCCCTGGCCATTTTCCCCAGGAGGATTTCTAGCAGAGGAGACACTTCACATAGGGTCGGATCTTGGCCAAGGAAAGAAAAAAAAAAATCTAAATGGCCACTCCATACCATGCATGTGCTTTTGATTCTACAAGTGTTCCTTGACTTTGTGCTGCAATGTGATCGGCTTTACATGATTAAAACTTAAGATAGGTGCTTGAAAGAATACAGAATATATAATTGAAGACCGCATTTAGAGTTGGGCTTGGTTTCTTCTGAGTTTTGAAGGGGAAGTGACATTGGGAAGTTATTTTAGAAATAAGTCTTCAAGGAAGGGAGATTTGAAGATCATTTTATGATACCCCTGTTTCTAGGCAGTAGTTGCCTAATCCGTTGAGACACAACAAATGTCAATGTATTCTTAAAGATGTCCATTGAAGGACCATCAGAGCTCCCCTGTATGACATTACCCAGTTTTTATTTATTTATTTTCTTATCCATTAATTTACTTATTTATTGAGCAGTTCTGAGAGTAAAATCCATGTTCGTACTGACAATGTATCATGCAATTCCATAGCTTTGTTTTAATTCAACAAAGACTGTTAGTCCTAAAAATATGACTTTTAGGCTTTTTTTTTACCCTCCTGGTTAAATTGTCACAGTCCTTTTACTTTCCTTTACAAATTGATAATGACTATATATCCTATATTTAATGATGTGCAACCAAATCACTCTACTGGTTGTTTTTTTCAAGCACAATCACTGAAACTTTATCATCTGAACAGTAATCTCTGAAAACAACGCAATCACATCTTACTTGAGACTAAAAGCATTATGTGACTATCTTATCCATCAGGATACACCTGCACAGCATTGCCATACATTGAAAAACAAATATTTATAAATAGTTATTGGGTTTGTCTTAAAACTATAGTACAAATATGGAAATGGAAATATCCATATTATGATTCTTTATTTAAGATACTCAGAATACTTCCAATGTAGTTTTTTACTAGATGGTGTATATATAATTTGTTTGGGGACACGTATGTTTTTAATTAATAAATTTAATCAATAAATTGTGGGTGTTTAAAATATTGATAATTTGACTATTCCAAAAGAAGCAATTGCAACTCTGATTCATTAGTGTGTTTATTAAATTTTATCTAAGGTATCATTAACACATGCATGTAACACCAGGGAATAATCCATAAGAAACTCATGGCAAGGTTATCATTTATTTTATATTGTCATGTTACAATGACTTTTTTAGATAATTGTTGACATTCTCGTTGTTTCCTTTACCTAGGAGGGGAAAAAAAATCCTTTGAAAGTGAGTGTGCATCTGATTAAATTAAGTTCCAGAAAT